AAAATTAAATATTTCAAAACAATTCAACTAAGAAAAAGTTTTCATGATAGTAAACAATTACTAAGAATAAAACATAACATAAATACTGGAATGGTAAATATATGACCAGCACTTCTAACAGTCTGTGGATATCACACAATGTTCTAGTATGTGGGGGACATGGACAGTGTCCATGATGCTTACTGGTGTCCAGGTGTCACTTGTGGGACTGAGCTACTGCTATTTCCTGGATATCCACCCTTCAGACCTGGACAGAATCATGACCCATAGGGTGCAGGAGAAGTCTATTTGTGGAGTATGCTGATGGAAATATTTTGCTGCTGTATACAAAAGAATAATTGAAAGACTTCTTTTGTATACCTCTTTTTCTCCTGTGTTTAATTGTTTGCCCTATTTGGTGGGTTCTTTCCATTCTCATTCATGGAACTGTGCTCATTTTGATCCCTTTTTAGAATATTTTTTAATAATCTGTGTAGCATTGGCTTTGTCATCATGAAATTCTTTAGTTGTTCTTTGTCATGGAAGTATTTCACTTCTCCATTATACTTGAAAGAAAGTTTTGCAGGTATCAATCTGGGTTGGAATTTGTTTTCTTGCCAGATTTGTAGTACTTTGCTCCATGCTGTTCTTAACTTGATGGTTTTTGAAGAGAAATCTGCCCTTATTAACTTTGTCTACATCTTATATCTTTCACATTTCAATATTTGTCTACAATTTTTAATGTGCCATGTAATTATTGATTTTCAATAAAGTTAATGAGAAAAGAAAAAAGAAAAAAAACAGTGTCGTTAACTTTTCAGTTCTCAAATTGATTTCTAGCAGAGATTGGCAAACGTTTTTGTTAAGGGGTAGGTGGTAAATATTTTAGATTTTGTCAGCCATATGATATTAATTGCAATATGATATTAATTGCCTTTGTATTGCAAAAGCATAGATAACATGGAAAAAAAACAACTGTGGCCACATTTCAATAAAACTTTGTTTATAACAATAAAAAATAAAAAAATTAAAGGGAACATATGAGGACTATCTTAGAAGAATGAAAACTGAGGTAATTTGACCATAGTGAACTTACTAGAAATTAGTAATAGAAAGCCAAATCCCATATCACCACCTATGAATGTATTCTGTTGCTAATAGAATAACACAGACTGAGTAAATTGTAAAGGAAAAAAGTTGATTTGGAGGGCTGGCCAAATAGCTCAGCGGATTAATGTGACTGCAAGCAGGCGCAGGGGCCAGGGTTCAAACCCCGGGCCTGCTGTGCTGGCCTTTCCCCTGGGGCATGCTGAGATGGCAATTGAGACTGGGCATGGTGGTGCAGCCTGTAATCCCAGTACTTGGGAGTCTGTAAACAGGAGAATCACTATGAGTCCAATCTAGTAGTGAGACCCTGAACGCTATGTAGACCTTTCCCTAAAAATACAAAAAAAAAAAGAAGAAGAAGAAGAAGAAGAAGAAGAAGAAGAAGAAGAAGAAGAAGAAGAAGAAGAAGAAGAAGAAGAAGAAGAAGAAGTAAGAGTAGTTGATTTGGCCATGATGCTGGAAATTGGAAGCTCCCAAGGCATGAAGACAATATCTCTCCTTGTTAATTTTCATTTTGGTCCAAAATACTTTTCTGTTGAATTATCTTAAGGCAGAAAGGCAGTAGGGCAAGAAGCACATGTGGAAGAGATAAAATGCAAATACCAGAGTAGAATTTATTTACTCTCATATTAATAACATTAGTTCATTCATGAGGGGGTAACCCCTGGGACCCAGACACGAGGCCTGTCCTCCTAACACCTTCATATTAGAATCAAGTTTCCAATACACAAATTTTGGGGGTATATCCAGACCATAGCACCCCAAAACACTAAGGGGTAAACAACATACTTTTAAATAATATATGAGTTGAAGAAGAAATCTTAAGAGACATCTAAAATATTTTGAACTAAATGGAAATGAAAAACTTTTATATTTTTGTGTGAAAATACAAAATCTATGAGATGCAACAAAAGCAGTGCAAAAAGGCAAATTTATAGCACTGTATGTATATACAGTATTAAAAAAGATGTAAAATAAAATTATAGCTTTTATTTCTCCCTTAGGAAAGGAAGATATATATATATATATATATATATATATATATATATATGACAAAAATAATAAAAATCAGAGTGGAAATCAATTAAAATCGATCACAGGAATCAATGGGGAAAAATTGCCAAAAATAAAAGTTGGTTCTTTGAAAACATCACTAAAATTGATAAACCTCTATCTGGGATACAAGAGAAAGGGCAAAATGATTAATATCAGAGATTAAATAGAAGGCAGCATGTTAAAAGAATGGACACTAAAAAATCATAAAGGAACACTATAAATGACTCCTGGCCTCTGTTGGCCGTAAACTTGACAACCCAGATTAAATGGATCAATTTCTTGAAATAACCTATCAAAACTTAACAAAGACAACTAGGCTGCAGGTCCAGATGCACTTAATGGTGAATTTCTCCTAAGGCTTAAGGAAGATGTTATATAAATTTTCTACAATCTCTTGCAGAAGACTGAGTCAAAACGAGCTCTTAACTCATTGCATGAAGTCAGCATTACTCTCCAAACAAAAGACATTGCAAGAAAAGTACAGATGAACACTTCTCAGGAACACAGTGCAAACATCATCACTGAAATGTTAGGACTCAAATTCAACAATAGATGAGAGTTTCACCCCATGACCAAGATGACCAAGTGAGATTATTCCAGGGACACGAACATAGTTGACCACTGAAAAATAAATTATGTAATATAGAGTAGCACATCATATCAACAGACTAAAGAAAATCTCACTATCAATCACTACTTCCAGGCATGGTGGCACACACCTGTAATCCTGGCTCTCAAGAGGCTGAGACAGGAAGATCACTATAAGCACAGGCCAGCTTGCACTATGTAGAGAGACCTTGACTAAAAAAAAAAAAAGGAAGATGCAGGAACCAGGGAGAGAGCTCAGCAGCATAAGTGCTTGCCTGGCAAGCACAAAGTCTGTATCCCCCAGTCTTGTATGCAGGGCTGGCCCAGGAACCCAGAACCCTGTGCACGGTGGCACATGCCTGTAATCCCAGAACTTGGGAGGCTGAGACAGGAGAATCGCTGCATGTTTGAGATCAGCATGGGAGCTACAGAAGTGAGCACAAGGCTGGCCTGAATTGCATAGTGAGACCCGGTCACCACCCCCCCCACCCAAAAAATGCACACACATAATTTTAGAGATATAAAAATGTTTAGCAAGGATTCAAGGTACAAAGTTCATATATAAAGTGAATCCCTTTATTTCTAGAAATGAAAAAGGTGAATTTGAGATTAAAAAAACATGATATATATTTCTTTCTTTTTTGATATTTTAGGGAAGGGTCTACAGGGTGTTCAGGGTCTCACTACGAAATCGGATTCATAGTGATCTGCCTGTTTACAGCCTCCCAAGAGCTAGGATTACAGGCCCGCACCACCACG